ACGGAGGCTCATACGGCGTTTCGTCTTAGCACAGCAGTGGTAGCGAGTAACGCCCTCTCCTTTGTGTAACTACCCCGTTCCCCACTTCCGCGGTGATGGTTGTCTTCCCTAGTGGCGTGGCGTCCTTCGATATATATATCGATATTTCCCAATTTGAAGCTATGGCAAAGAATCGATTATTAAGGTGCTCGTTGCGAACACCCTGATAATAATCGATCCTTTTCCACAGGTTTAAACGGCAGATCAATCGATATATCGCAAAGCACGCCACGCCACTGGTCTTACTTAAACGAAAAGAGCCATCACGGCGGGAAACCGCGCAATGCGGTCGAGAGGGTTTTTTTATTTTTTTTTTTTTCGAGACTGTAAAGAGTGAAAAATGAGTTTGGTTCCCTCATCGCCTCGCATCGTCCACGGAAAAAAGGAAAAGCGCCGTGATTTACTCAGAACGCGCAGTTTCCAAATTGTGCCGAGAAATGTTCTGAACGTCGGTGAGAGGCGCGTAACCGGGGCAGTGTTTGAAACTCCCTTCGAGTTTTAGGAGCCGTGTGGCGCAACAGACTCGATTTTTAGGGACCATTGAAGATTTTTTGGGGGCCAAATTGACTTTTTGCCTATATAGCACGGCGCATTTAGCGACGAGTTAGACGTAAGATGTTTTGGTCACAGAACTAGTAGCTGTAACTTAGAGGGGGGAGGGAGGATTCCGAAAAATCACCCAGCTGAGAAAATTACGATTTTTTTTTGGGGGGGAGGGGGCAGTTTTTAGGGGCCACGTAGGCGCAGAGCCTTCATTCTTTTGACGCCATGACTAATTTCTCAGGCGCATTTTGCGCGTTGGCGCTTGTGAGTTTCGAACACTGAACCAGTGGGAGGGGTCCAGGGGATCTCGAGGTCGACCCCCCTAGGACTTCAGAATATCGATGATAAAACTCTCAAAGCATGTGTCACGTTTGCGCTGTTCAAAAGTCTCCGATCCTACTTCATTTTTCAAAGCGGAAGAAATCAACATTACTCCTTGAAGTCGAGTGTTTTCGATGCACCGAGAAGAAATGATCATGGAAGTATTCAAGAATAATTGACCGTGAAAAGTTCTCCATTTAAAAACCAAAGTATGACAGGAAATTTGCAACGTCCAGCAGGGTTGCCACAGTCAGGGAAAACCGGGAAATGTCAGTGGAAACGACAAAATTGACGGAAATGTCAGGGAAAATTTGTTAAATCACCTTCATTTGCTTTCTAGAATGGGTTTGAGATTTTGAACAAGAAATTTTGCCCGAAAACTACTTTCAGTTATGTCCTCTCAACCATCCCTCACATCTTCAATTGTCAGGGAATTTCACCAAAATTTGTCAGGGAAATGCCAGGGAATTTCAATTTCTAAATTCTGAGGCAACTCTGAACGTCGCAAACCGGAATATTTGGTTTAGGAGCTTTACCGTCTTCGTTCAAGATCAGGTATCTGGAAGTCCATTCGTCACTAAAATTCTAAAAAAAGTATACTTTTTTTTCATATTTTGTCTAATCCCTCAAACCCGAACCAGCGTGGATTACCAGCTTAAAACATATCACGATCTCAGTACCAAGAAAGGAAAACTTGCGGTTTTTGACAGGAATGCCCTGCGACGAAGTCCCTGTTTTTCCCGGATAACTTTCCTTCCCCCATGAATCCCGGCAATTCCAAGCACTAGACAAGGACTTTTAAGGGCGTCACGAACCTTGGGACGACTTTGTCGAGACTTTATGTTGAGTCCTAATGAGACTCTACTTTTAGCGTTGAGAATTACTGTGATGTGCTTGAAGATTCGCTCTTTTGCATACTGAGCTTAGAGCTCATAGAAGTACATGATGATCTTGCTGTGCTGCCGTGCTAAAGAAAAACGCCGTATGAACCTTCAGATATTGCCAAATTTCCTTTGACAAATCGCTAATTTTCGAGAAAATTTGTGAATATTTTTCTTCCGATTTTTCAGGTAATTTTGTTTGTAATTTGATCTAAAAAGTCTGAAAATTTCGAGGAAAAATGCTTTTAATTTTCCTCAACAATAAAGATCCCATCAGAGGAAATTTGGCAACTCTCGAATGTTCATACGGCGTTCGTCCACAGCACGGCAGTGTAGCAATGTCACCGGAGCGGAAAGCGAAAAACCTCGCCCATTTGTTGACTTTCAGCCTCTGAGACAGAGAACGGGGGAAGAAGTTATCGTGTATCACCACGCCGGAGTTACGGGGAGATCGTCGTAAGAAAGCCTTCGGCATTGCCAAATTTATTCTATTAAACTTCAAATTTTCTGGGTAATTTGTGCTTATTTTTCTATGAATTTTTCTCCGAATGCAATTCACAATTTAATCATCAATGTCAGAAAGTTTCAAAGGCAAGTACTTGTAACTTTTTTTTGGAAATTAATATTCTGTCGGGGGAAAGTTGGCAACCTCGAAATGTGGATACGCCGTTTTTCCTTGACACGGGAAAGCAGGAGCGAGCATGGCGAAATGTCAAGAGTCGACGGCTGGGACAGGAACAATTCGAAAGCGGAAACTTAAATTATCAAAGTTCCAACTGGAGAAATAACTTTTTCCGGTAACTTTTTCGCTCTAACTTGGATCTGCACGCGGCGTCGACGCTTACGAGGCGCGTATCAAGATATTTGCTCTTTTTACTTTTTACGTCCACTCTCTCACACTCTTACAAATATGTGACGTCGTCCTGGATTTGAGAGTTAGCTTCATTCAACCAGAATCAGTCTATTTGTTTTGAAAACTGGAAAGATGAAAGACACACGCAATAATTAACGTCCGCGCGTTAAATAATTGGATATCGTCGCCACCTTAATGCATACACCGAAAAAGAAGTGAAGTTGATTTAACATTTTGGATGTAAAAAAAGTGCGTGCGAGAACTTATAAAATGCTGAATGATCCGCCTTTAGCGGTTAGTTTTACTTCTTGGCATTGCTAAAGTAACTGCTTTAGCGGGTAATTCACCATTTTATAAGTTCCGCACTTTTGGCGCGTGTACGTAGTATACCGCCTTTGCGATCGTTTCGACCCCCCCCCCCCCCCNCAATGTCACCGGAGCGGAAAGCGAAAAACCTCGCCCATTTGTTGACTTTCAGCCTCTGAGACAGAGAACGGGGGAAGAAGTTATCGTGTATCACCACGCCGGAGTTACGGGGAGATCGTCGTAAGAAAGCCTTCGGCATTGCCAAATTTATTCTATTAAACTTCAAATTTTCTGGGTAATTTGTGCTTATTTTTCTATGAATTTTTCTCCGAATGCAATTCACAATTTAATCATCAATGTCAGAAAGTTTCAAAGGCAAGTACTTGTAACTTTTTTTTGGAAATTAATATTCTGTCGGGGGAAAGTTGGCAACCTCGAAATGTGGATACGCCGTTTTTCCTTGACACGGGAAAGCAGGAGCGAGCATGGCGAAATGTCAAGAGTCGACGGCTGGGACAGGAACAATTCGAAAGCGGAAACTTAAATTATCAAAGTTCCAACTGGAGAAATAACTTTTTCCGGTAACTTTTTCGCTCTAACTTGGATCTGCACGCGGCGTCGACGCTTACGAGACGCGTTTCAAGATATTTGCTCTTTTTACGTCCACTCTCTCACACTCTTGCAAATATGTGACGTCGTCCTGGATTTGAGAGTCAGCTTCATTCAACCAGAATCAGTCTATTTGTTTTGAAAACTGGAAATATGAAAGACACACGCAATAATTAACGTCCGCGCGTTAAATAATTGGATATCGTCGCCACTTCAATGCATACACCGAAAAAGAAGTGAAGTTGATTTAACATTCTGGATGTAAAAATAGTGCAGGCGAGAACTTATAAAATGCTGAATGGCCCGCCCTTAGCGGTTAGTTTTACTTCTTGGCATTGCTAAAGTAACTGCTATAGCGGGTAATTCACCATTTTATAAGTTCCGCACATTTTTTTACATTTACAATTATAAACAACTTCATTTTTTTTTTTTTTTTTCGGTGTGACTGATCGATGGTCAAAGTGCCACCCTATTTGGATGGAATTACGAACGAAATTCTCTGAAAAATCGGAGGAAAAATGTTTATAAATATTTCCAGAAATTCGCGTTTTATCAAAGGAAATTTAGCAACGCCTGAAGGTTCATACGGCGTTCTTCCTTAGCACGGTGAGTTATCCTAAATTACGGCAAAGCCATTCATTCTCAAAATTACTGAAGCATCAAAGGATCCCAGCGTTGCTGCAGATGGGGATCTAATTCGGTTTGAACCATTTAATTAGCATCTGACCCAGTCAGATTATCAGTTGACGGCACGCCTGTATCCAACCTCGTCTGTGTGGATGTTGATCAACCATACGACGCGTTTTACCGAGCGATCGCGCAACCTTGACCTTAGCCTCTTTTTCTTGTCAAATTGTGTCGAGTAGAAAGGAAAATTCTGACTCTCCTCTATGTCACAAACAAAATGCAAATACAATGTGGCAACATAGCGACCACAAACTACGGCCGAACGAGCTTCATCACCTGATCAAACACTCATGGGAACATGAGCGCTGTGCGAGGCGATGGTGTGAACCTGTGAAGGAAAAATATCCGTAATTTCCCTCAAGAATGAACATTTTATCGAAGGCAATTTGGCAATTTCTGATGGCCCATACGGCGTTCTTCCTTAGCACGGCAGAATAGGTCCGGGGTTCGGATTCCTGTAGTGGCGATTTTTCACGAGACTGAGGGTGGATTTGCCATCTGCCCAACAGATTCTACTCGCCATAAATCTCTGAATATTTGAAAAGCCTGGATGCGCCAATTCCTTGATGTTTACGACGGTAAATTGAGTCCACAGATGGCTGTAGGTTCCTGACGGAATATAAGCCAATTGACCAGAGGAGGAAAAAAGAAAAAAAATTATGAAGTTTACACAGGTTCCGAACGTTTATCCACGGCACTTACGCCCTACCATCGCGCTTGTACATACTAATGACTGAGTGTGCGACTGAATTATCACTTACCTCCTTTTTCACATTTTTGATGAGCGTCTCTTTAAATGCTTTATCTGAAAAAAAGAGCGAACAAATATGTTAGGCAGCTACAAAAGGCTAAAGTTGCAACATGCGACATCTACAGTCTACGTAATGCATACAAAATACTGCGCACTACTTCCTACAACTCAATAATTTACTTCAAAGGTGAATCTGCCGATTCAGCCCACCCACTAACTCATCCACCTACTCATCCTTTCACTAGCACATGACATGTTGCTCAGCTATATTTCAATACCCACCGCTCAGATTCCTGCCGAAGGCATGAAGAAAATACTTGCAATACATGGATCCGGATTTTTTTATGAATTTTAACTCTATCAATTCGAAAATTTCTCTGTTTATTACTTTTCAATCTTCATACGCTCAATTTTACGTGCCAGTGAAAGTATATATTAATCATACGGAATTACTTTAATTGTTCTGGAAAATGAGTAAAACCATGAAAATTGTACAATCATTTGATGAGCAAACGGGATATTGTATACAATCGGATTTTTATGAGTAGAACCTTTCTCAACAAGAATATTACTTATGTAATATTACTTATATTATTCATGTGTTAATATTGGACATTTTTTTCTATCAGCGTATTCTGCGCCAAAATCTTATAAGGGCAAAAGGCGTGTGGAAGTTGAGTTTCTACCCTGTCTATTGGTCCTAGATTCATAATCGCTTCTTATACAGCCCCTCCTTTTATAAAAACCTCATGTGGTGTACATTGTGATTGAGCGAGGTTTAAAGATGCCAGGGTATTTTCAGGGGCAAACAACGGAAACCCCCGAGAAAAGTCAAAAATACTTTATAAATGTTAGGAGGTACCTAATCAACCTTGAAAAGCCAGAAAATATCGCCGACGGACCACGAACCTTTTCGCATCAAGCCGAAAAATCTAGGGTCTCATTCATAGTCGTTCCTTTAACAGCCCATATGGTTTACATTGTGAATGCTACTGTGCTAAGGAAAAACGCCGTATGAACCTTCAGGCTTTGAAAAATTCCCTTTGATATAACACAAATTTCCTGGTAAACTTATGAATATTTTCCTTCCAATTTTTGATAGTATTTTGTTCGCAATTTCATCTATAGTTCCCGAAAATTTAAAGAAAGACTCTTCATAACTTTTCTCCAAAATGAACATTTTATCGAAGAAAATCTGGCAACTCTCGAATGTTCATACGGCGTTCTTCCTTAACACGGCAGAATAGGACGCCGTCGACCATGTATGGCATCCTAAAAAGGAAAATGTTTGCAAACTTTGAGTAATTACCAGCGACAAAACTTTAGATTTGAATCCTAGCGAGGGATGACGATGATTTGCCACTGCCAAAGGTACGCAATACAAAATGAATATTTCTATGATGTTGACCATTTTAAGGCAGGCGAGGACCTAAGTACCCTAAAATTTGTAAAACTCGCAGGTAAATTTTATTCAGCCTTTTGTATTTTTTTCGAGAAAAATCACTGAAATCCCTTGCAAGGATCCCAATCCATAATCATACTGCAGGTGAAGTTAGACTACAGGTTTTCAAGAATGTCCCTTTTCACGATGTCGTATCGACAGCGTCCTTACACCTCCTTCAAACACAATACAAAACATATCGACGTGAAACTATCAGATCCAGGGCCGGATTTACCTACTTGCCGCCCATGGGCCGCCTGTATTTTACCGCCCCTTCTCATTCATTTTGAAACATCAATAAAAACCATCAAGTAAACGTGCCGGAGGGGGAGGGGTGCATAAAACGCGTTTACTCGTGTTGCACACAATTTTGGGAAAGCCCTGTCATCACTACTAGCAAAAGTTCATGGAACTTTGCGCGAAAGTCAAGTTCCGTAAACCTATCTCTGGGTCGAAAATGTCTTCCATTCATAAGAAATGAACGAAAGAATTATGAAAGAACAAACATTAAGGTCGGGATGTGAGAGTTTTTTAGCCAACGTGCGTAAAAAGTTCAACTTAAAGCTGATATCTCATTACAGAGGGAAAAAGCTTTGGGTAAAACATAAGGGTGGTTTAGTGATTTCAACTTCCGTCACCGCGCCGCCGCGCACACCGCACTGTGTTTGGCGCAATGCGTGAAGTATTCATGCGCTCTTGTAGGCGCTATGCGTTTCACGCTGACCGCATAGCGACCGCACTGAGTTTGATGCAACGCGTGAAGTATTTATACAGTCTTGTAGGCGCTAATAAGTGTTACATGCCGACCGCCGCGCCGAGGGCTTTTCCTTTTCATCGAAAGTCCTCGTCATCATTTCTCTCTAAGCCAAATTGCGTGTTTGGTTTTTCTCTTAACTCGACTAATTAAAAGTGCTGTCTCTTCTATTACTGAAAGACGACAACATTAGAAATTACTATACTCTCAGGAAATTTCGTCACCTATTCTCGTTTGTAATTTTTTTCTAAATCCGATTTCTTTTATACCTTCATTTAAAAAAATTGAAAAATTTGCCGTCATGGGCCGCGGCCTATGGTGGCCACCCCCTAAATCCGGCCCTAATCAGACCATGTATCTCGTTTGCGGTGTTTAAAAAGCTCTGCTCCCATCTTATTTTTTAGAAGGAGAATAAATCGATATCAATCCTTGAAGTTTTCATAGAATAATCTTCGCATGAAGAAGAATAATAATCACGGCCAATAATTGACGTCAAGTGATTTTTCATTTTAAAAATAAAGAATAACAGGAAGTCCGCGACGTCGCAAATCGAGATACGTGGTTCGGTAGTTTCACCATCGATATGGAGTCTTCCTAGAGGAAATGAGCTGTTTAAAGAACGACTAGGCTGCCGTGCCAAGGCAAAACGCCGTATGAACTTTCGAGAGTTGCCAAATTTTCCTCAATAAAACATGTATTTTTGACGATATTAATGCATATTTATCCTTGAAAATTTAAGATTTTTTAGATTAAATTACGTACAAAATTGTCTGAAAATTTTGGAAAAAAATATGCATAATTTTCCCGGTAAATTCAGTTTTTATCGAAGGAAAGTTGAGAACGTCTGAAGGCTCATACGGCGTTCTTCCTCAGCGGGCTGATTATTGAAATCGATAGGCAAAGCAATAGACAAAGAAGACAAAAAGGATTTGAAGGGATCCTATTGGTAGAAGCGGGTGAACGCAATGGACAAAGGGGGTAGGCAATAGACTGACTAACGGCAACCCACGAGAGACCCGACAGTTAGTCTATCATTTTCCCCCTTAGTCTATGAGAACCACCCATTTCAACCAATAGGATTGCTTTATACCCCCTATGTCTTCTTTGTCTATAGCTTTGTCTATCAATTTCAATAATCGGCCCGCAGCACGGCAGTGTGACTGAGAGCCTCGATCTGTTGGCTTGATGAGAAAAAGGACGAGGTCATGCGCCGATATTTTCTGGCTTTTCAAGGTTGGTTAGGTAGGTACTCCCCAACGTGTCTAGGTTTTCCTTGACTTTTCTCGGGTTTTCCTGCTTCGTGGAGCCCGTGAAGAAGAAGATACCCTGAACTGGAAGAGGCGACTTGCCGACTGACAGGAACGGCGGCTGCGCGGTGTGGTCGCCGCACAGTGTATCGAGTCAATAGGAGAGCTCGGACAAAATTTAGAAACTTTAAACACTTTTGACTCCGTTTATACGAAACATTGAGGTCCTAAAAGTGGCTCCATTGGTTTTCTTGTGAAAATTCCTACTGCACGCTCCTCCTGGAATTGAAAATGTGAGGAAATAAACATGAAAATTTGGAGTTTTAGTGAGAAATTTCATGTGCGAGCTCTCTAATTGACTCGATCCACTGTGGACGGTGGTGGAGAAATCCGCGGATTAGCGTCCAAGCGATTGGCGAGACGATTTCTCACGGGCGGCCAAGCGCGAAGCGGGAAGCTCCCGTGCCGGGCAAAAACCGCTCAACTCCCGCGTAACCCGAAGCCGGATCCGCGCTTTTTCCGATCGGACGGTGGAGAAGCTACCCGCTTTCCCGCTTTCCATTGCGGACACGTAGCGCGGCACTCTATCTAAACGACGTCGTCATCTAATACCGACCCTGGCCAAGACGAACCCCGCCGGATGCCCAAACCGCGTATCTTCGCCGGGATTCAACCGGACCAACGGTGGTTTCCAGCGATGAGCTGTAATGGGAGTCGTTGCGGGTCGTCAAAGCTAAGTGCCTTCCGAGTGAGCTTCGACAGCTCAGTCAAAGGATTTTCGGGCTTCTGGCTCCGGCGTAGTTGCCAGATAGTGCTGAAATTTCAACACTTACCCCCGTTTAAACCCTTGTAAAATATCTGCATTTCACCGCTTAATCTGGCAACTTTGCTCCGGCTCGGACCCCCAGCCGGATAAAGTATTTCCATGATCAAGGTGCGGCACCACGCATCTTCAATGCGGTGTTTCAAAATTTCCGCTCCTATTCTATTTTCTAGATGGGAGACAGGCCATTTTTACAGCTTGAAATCTATCTGCGTTGAATATTCTGCCGATAGAGACGAAAAATCAAGGAAGGTTTCAATAAATTGCATTGAATAATTTTCCAAAGGAGAAATAAACTATAACAGGAAGTCTGCAACGTCGCATACGGAGATACGTGGTTTCGCACTTTGGCCATCGATTGTAGGGGCCCTGCATTAAGAATCTAAGGAATGTGATCGAGTGAGGCAAAAGGTGCATTTGGAGATCAACACTTATTCTCGTATTCCCTTTAATGAAATTTTCGCTCTTCCACCACTAAAGAGGTGAACCATCACATTCTCATTTTTTTTTTAAAGTCATATGGACGTTTTTATGCTAAAAGGAACTATGTGCAAGGGGAAGAATAGGGTGTGCTCGTGGAAGGTGGACAAGAAACACTGTAAAAGTGGATATTGTTCCTTTTGAGAAAATGGAAAAGCGGGATTTTCGATTCGATCAAAAGGAACTGAGCGCTAACTCGTGAGCCGTGGACATGTGACCAAAGTCCTGTGGACAGAGCTCATGAGTTAGAGACCGCCTTCCCGATCGTCGTTTCTCTCTTCGTTGCCGCTGACGTCACTGGCGCTTTAT